GCTGTGTTCTTTCGCACACATCCGACTACATGTGCTGCTCGAGCAACCGCATCGATCCGACATGCTTTGGGCTCCAGTTCGTCTAAGTCTAGGTCTAGCAGCCCGCGGGTCCTTAGTCAACCATGCCTGGGGGCGACAGGGAGGGACGAAAGGCCCGCAAGATTGAGCAGCGCGAGAGTGCCCGACTCTCGTCCGAGCACTTCCCTCTTTCCCCCCAATTCTAAGTGTCACTCCGAAACGATCTCTGGGTTCTCTTCAAACTACTTCATTTACAATCCCCAAACACCTTGAGAAACCGAGGTCACGATGCCACCAGCGTTGCGCAGCAGAGCCACGCAATGATGACAGCTGCCATCGAGGCCGGGCCTGCGCAGTACCAGACGGGGTGGGTGTCTTGGCATGTTTTGTCCAACTTTGTAGCGCAAGTAAGTTTTCAGATATTCTTCGTTTAGACTCTTAGTGTCTGCTTTGTGGTCTTTGGCATGTGCCGTGCACGAGTACTCAGGACTCCGGGTACGGAGTTGGTCTTCGGGAAGGAGGAGAAGAGGGCTACAGGTCTGGTATTCGGGAGGGCATCCGCCATGGCCGCCTTTACGGGGCGGATAACTTTTTCGCCAAAGGCTGGGCGAAGGGAGCTGCCGAAGCATCGGACTGGTCGGCCCCGATCTCCAGGATGATTTTTGCCCAGAAGTATGAGGAGCAGTATGGCAAGTGTGTCACGGAGGATGAAGACGAGGCCTTCATTGAGGAGCAGACTCGCGCACGCTTTGGCCCGGGCTTGTTGGGGGCTGGGTCTGGGTCTCAGCCTAGCAGCCTTGGCAAAGGCAAGGTCCAGGGCAAGGACTTCGGCAAGCAGATGAAGGGCCAAGGCAAGAACCCTGATTCCGGCACGAAGGGCAAAGGCCCGCCGGGCAAGACCTCCGAGGACAAGGGCAAGGCAGAGGGCAAAGGCCCGAACATCTGGAAGAAGGGATCCGAAGAGAAGGGCAAGGGCAAAGGCCCGGCGGGCAAGGCAGAGGACAGAGGCCTCAGCAACGAAGAGAAGGGCAAGGGCAAAGGCCCGCCGGGCAAGACCTCCGAGGAGAAGGGCAAAGCAGAGGGCAAAGGCCCGAACATCAGCAAGGGCTCCGAAGAGAAGGGCAAGGGCAAAGGCCCGCCGGGCAAGACCTCCGAGGAGAAGGGCAAGGCAGAGGACAAAGGCCTCAGCAAGGGCTCCGAAGAGAAGGGCAAGTCAGAGGGCAACGGCCAGGCCAAGATCACGACCTCCGAGGAGAAGAGCAAAGGCCAGGCCGCGATCAGCACCAACGAGGAGAAGCGCAAGGCCGACAGCATGAGCCAGCCCGACCCCGGCCAGGACAGCCCTGGACATTTTAAAGTTGTCGGGTCTTTAAGCAAGGCCAAGGCCAAGGGACGAGCCAAGCCGATGCCCGCCAGGAAAATAAACAGAGATAATGATCCGGATGACTTGAATTAAAAGTTGGTACTCATTGTCATTGAAGTTAGGCAAGTCGGGTCAGCTTGGCTTCTAATCCACAAAGCTTGGGCAATGGGTCTTGATGTCCGCAGAAGTCCTTTTGGCTTCCACCTGCGAAAAACAAGCTGGGGGTGCGTGCTGTTGGTGCTTGAGCTTGACTATGCTTATGCAGTAGTGAGAGAGTTTTCGTTGAGCTCGCCCAGGTCTGGCGAGCACAATCCAATCTGGTCATGGGCTTGGTGTTTTCTTTGCCACGCCTTCCACCATGAGCTCGCCAAGGTTTTTGGGTGTTCACGATGCAGTATGATGGCGGCATTTGGTCTTTACCTTAGATCGCATGTTTTCATGTTCGAGTCTCCTCTACGGACCTGGCATGTGCCGAGGTCTTGTGCCCATTCTTCAACCTCCACTTCCGGCACTTCCGGCATGCTTATGGTATGTTGGTGGGTCCCCTGCTGAGTGCGGTGTTTGTCGTGGATGCAGTGACGACGTATGTCGCAGTTTGTCTCGAGGACTTCCAGGTCTTGGCGCGCTGTCTGTAAACTGTCTCAGCCGTAGACTCTGCTGCCATGGCCATTTCAACTTCGGAGTTGAGCGGCTTCGCCCTGGTTTCCGGATGGTCTGAGATGGAAAGCAAACTGGGCGGCAAAGGCAAGGCCGAGATTTATGCAGAGTTCAGCCCGAGTGCCTTGCAGGCCGCCCATGGGATCCAACTCGGTTACTCATTGTCTTGTTATAACCAGCCAAATGAACTGGTCTTGTCTTGAGTATGAGCAGCCGCGTTTTCAAGTAAGCCACGCAATCAACTGTAGCAAAGCAGCGTCTTGAGTTTGACTTCCATGCAATTTGCAATACAAGTCTGTAGTTGAGCATTGCATTTCTTTCCTCCACGAGCTAATTTCTGTTGTGGCATGTCGACGCTAAGGAAGGTCTTCTAGCGGCCAAATTGTAACTAAATACATTGTCTTTTGGCAAGACACTCTGCAAAATTAGCTGTTCATGTCTCCAAACTGGGTTTACGCTGGTTTGAAGCATGTTGTATTGAACAGACAAAAACTGCTGCACTTGGCCGGTGTTCTGTGCTTGGTAGAAACATCAAACTTAGCTTTTCCACGGTCCAATTTCGCACTTTGCCAGTTGCACACCACCAAGCCATACACGTGATGCTTAAAATTGTGGCTCAACCCGAAATCTTAATTGTCTCGTACAATTGAATCATGTCTAAATCAATTGTTCCTGGCTCAAAAACTGCGTTTGCCAGGTGTTCTGTGTTTGTTAGAAATCTGCAAAATCAGCTTTTCCAGGGTCCAATTTCGCGTTTTGGCATGGTCTCACAACATGGTTCCCGGAATGCAGGACATGCATGTTGTCAGGCTTTTTCTAGCCTCCATGTCTTGGCAAGATCAGACCCTGTATCAAAACTGTATTATAAAGTAAAGCTAAACCCGAAAAACCTTACTAACCTGTCTCTTCAGAAACATACCAAAATCAGCTTTTCCTGGCTCCAAAATCGCGTTTTGACACGATTTGAGACATGGTTTGTTCTTTTCCAGCACAAAATCACATCGGCAGCTGGAGGGGCAACAAAAAGCGGTTGGCAATCCTTGCAAGTGTTCCGTGTTTGATAGAAACCTTCCAAAATCAGCTTTTCCAGGGTCCAATTTCGCATTTTGATCTGGTTCCACAACAATTGCCAAGCAATGCAAGAGCCAGGGTCAGCCATCGTAATTTCCACCCCCGATGCTTAAAATTTTGGTTAAACCCGAGATTTGAATCTTAATTGTCTCTTGCACTAGAATCACTCCAAAATCAGCTTTTCCTGTCTTCAAAATCACGTTTCGGCATGGTTCCTGGGCAATCCAAATGTTCTTTTATCGTTAGGAACGTGCAAAATCAGCTTTTCCAGGGTCCAATTTCGCATTTTGGCATGATCTCACAACATGGTTCCCGGAATACAAGACATGCACGTGGCAAGTTTTTTTAGTCTCCACGGCTTGATTGTGGTATAGCATGGCAAGACCAGACCCTGTATCAGAACTGTATTTTATACAGCTAAACCCGAAAAACCTTACTAACTTGTTTCTTCAGAAACATACCAAAATCAGCTTTTCCTGGCTCCAAAATCGCGTTTTGACACGATTTGAGACATGGTTTGTTCTTTTCCAGCACAAAATCACATCGGCAGCTGGAGGGGCAACAAAAGCGGTTGGCAATCCTTGCAAGTGTTCTGTGTTTGTTAGAACCTTCCAAAATCAGCTTTTGCAGGGTCCAATTTCGTATTTTGCTTGGTTTCACAACACCAAGCAACACACGAGATCCAGGGTCCGCCATCGTAATTTCCAACCTCCGCTATCCGACTCTGGCATGGAACCCAAGCTGCTTATTGATGCTTAATTTGTGGCTAAACCCGAAACCGTAAGTGTCTCTTGGGCCAGTTAGCACTGGAATCAATCCAAGACAGCTTCTCTCAAAAGGGAATTGTAGAGGTCGTTGGAATGGTCTGAAGGTTTTGGGGTTTCTAGTTCAAGAAAGGTAATGGCTTTTCATGTTCTTTGCAGGCTATCTGGCTCCGATCCAGAAGCGCGGCGGCCAGGGCTCTGCAGATGAGGTGGTCTGAGCCCATGGATGTATTCAACCCCATGCCGACAAAGAGGCCCAAGACTGACGTCTTTGTGGCCAACGTCGCTCGTGACTATATCCTTCTGGAGGGCTTTCTTAACGGGACTCAGGACAAGGTCCAGGCCGACAAGCTCTATCTGAAGGGCAATGGAAATTTCATCATGCACAAGTTGAAGCTGAGCCGGGACTGGGACAGCGGCTGCGAGGACTTAGACTCCGCTTTTGTCGTGAAGGCCGTGCTGAATGTCTCCACACCACCGGTCGATCGCGGTGTCTTCACATTTTACAGCATCAGGGACCCGGCCTTGAATGAGCGGGTCACAAAGGCCCTTGTCAGTCGTTGCCTGGACAAAGGCCAGAGGTTTCTGGATTTCTGCATGCGCTTTACTGATCTAGGCTCCTCAGACTCAAACCAGCTGTTTGGGGTTTCCTGCAGGTTCGGTCTACGATCACGGGTTGGAGGTGGCCTTCGACGACCCAAAATGTGCTCTGCTGGCCTGGATGTCTTCCGCGGACGGGACTACAGACATCATGCTGAACGTCCACCGCTGCGACAGCTACCCGGCCGGCTGCAGCTACTTCAGCAAGAAATGGTCTCCTCTTTGCGAGCCTCAGCATCGACGGTGAATCAATAATGATAGTTCTAAGTCGAACAACGATCGAAGATTGAGCGAGAGAAGGAGAGAATGAAGCATGACGGAGAGTCCTAAGGGGAAACTAAGCCTGTAAACCTAAACCATCGGACGACGAGATGGAGGCGGCCCGACTAGTGAACGAATAGGTATCTGCACCTAGAAGTTGAAGGGAGATGAGGTAATGAATACCAAAATTTCGATACCAACTGCAGTAGGATTTACATGTTTAGTTGAAAAATTACAAGTAATGTAATGCAATCTCTCTCTCCAAGGACTTCTGGGTCGGACCGGTCTCGAGACAGTCCGGGACTACGGTCGTGGTGAAGGCCGAGGTCTGTCTAAACGTCTTGTCTCGGATTCCGTTGAAGCAGCACATTGCCAAAATGAACGTGGACCACTTTGCCAAAGCGGTCTCGGAGTTAGACCGCGACTTGGTCATGTTGGAGGAACAGGCCCGGCTCACGAAGGAGCAGAAGAGGATCGCGACGGACGGTCTGAGGGCTGCGGAAGGTCACTTGCAGACACATGCGAAGCTGGCCCAGGTCAATGAAGCCCTTGAGCAGCTGCCGCCGGCTGAATCGTCTCCGGCAGCCGATGGCCTAGCAGTCTAAGTCTGTCCAGGACCCAGGACTTCAAGTTAAGTCTGCCTCGAGTTTAAGGGCCAGGACTCAGGACATAAGTCATGTCTGGGTCAGATATTTGAATCGGAGTGCACCAGGCCACCGGACATGACAGGTCTTAGAAATCCACAGATATACCATGCTGGGAATCTAAAGTAACTTAAGGGTCTTAGTCTTAGTATTATTGTTGAAGGTTGGGTTGGTCTGGCACAGTTTTACATTGACATTGCAAGGGACATCGGTTCTCCTTGTCTTTTAAGACTTGCGTGCATCATTATCTTCGGTGCCAAAATGGGCAGGTGCAGCTTTTCTCAAATTCAAACTGTTTCGCCGTCGCCCGTGTGCCGCTGCCAGGTCTCGGACAGAAACATCTCCATGGGACGTCATGGCATTCCAGGATGACAGAAGGCCTAGCTGCTGTTACATGATTTGCTCGACTCTGCAGTGCGGCTGTCAATGTTGAAACGTGATGGCAGGGCTTAGTGTGGGGCGAATTTAGTGAACGTCAGCACCCAAGCTGCTGTGATACAATGCTATTGTTACAGGTCTGCATAGACATTATGTTGCAGTGTCCGACTTCAACGGCCAGGGGCTCGAGTTCTGCAGTGCCTGTGTCGGATGATTCCTGGTTCAACGGTCTGAACCCAATGATCGGTCAGGCCGCCTTCTGCCTGTCCAAGCTGCCGAGAGATGTCCTGGGATCAGTCAGACACTCGGAAACAGGATTCGGATTTATGACACCCTTGCAGGGTTGGCCTGCAGGGAGTTTGGTCTTAGGTCTTTATGAGATTTGGTGATTGTTTGTTCAGCAGGGAGTACGGCTTGGATGGGATCGGATTAAAGACATTAGGCCTCCCCTAGCCCCACAGTTGCTTCATCCTGGGCAAGAAGGAGACAGTCAAGGGATGCAAACCGACGGTTTGGTTCTGATTTCTATCTATGACTATAAGTGAATGTATTGGGCCCTTCCAAGAGAGAATCTCGTCACCGACTGGCATACGCACAAGCAAAGGCCGCGCATGAATCCAGGAACCCTACACTATTTCATTGAGGCCTCTAATTCAGATCGGTATCAAGGACCTTCAGATATAAGAGTTCTGTCTCCTGTAGGGTTGTTCCGTACTAGAATTGCATCTCCCCACTTTCCCCCACTTTCAGCCGCGACTGCGAGCAAGCAGCCTCGCTGTGACCGAGCGGCAGACTATGGCGTGGGCCTCTTGACGACCCTCATCATGGGAGCGAAAACTGAGTGTTCACTCAGCTCTGGTTCCGTTGTGGTGAACTCCGGGCCCATGGTGGGCATTATCATGACAACCAAGTTCACCAAGAACTTGTGGTTTGTGAAAGGGCTTTCACCATCACTCCATTGCCCTTCTGGGAAGACAGGACCAGGCTTCTCCTCAGACCATCCGCGGAACTCCGGGTGGACGAAAGCGATGGCCTGGAAGCGACGGTCCGCATCGACAGCAGTCCGCCTTCAAGTTCAAGAGTCTGCAAGACTCCGAGCACGCCAGCCCCGGCGAGGCCGTCTTCATGAACGCAGATGCGGACTTCGACGGCTCTGACAATGGCCACCGTGCCATTTCGACCTCGACATTGCCGAGCCTTGTTCTTGCTCTTTCCTTCTCTGCTGCCCTGCTGTGCTGCTCTGCTCATGCTCCCCATTAGTTCTGCCTTCTCAGGGATGGTTTGGACTCCAGGGTTTTACGGTTTAGGTCCACTTAAGATCCCGAACCCGTCACACCATCATGGAATCACAGTGAATCACAGCAGCAGATAAGCACTAAGAGTTGAATGTCATCTCGTTCCATCATTTCTGGTTTCCCTAGGCTGGCGCCGCTTGCCCTGCTTCTTCTGCTGCTTCCCGTCTCGACTCCTGCTGGGCTGGAGATCTGTGAGGCCCTAAGACCATCTAAGCACCAACAAGAATACTAACATGATCCCAAGTAAGACACATTGGTCATTCCCCAGAAATTTCGGTAGGCTAAATATTAAACCCTGCCCAATACACTTAAACCCTGCCAATACCCTTAGACCCTAAGCCCGGAAGCCAAGCGAAAAGACACCCTATTAAACCAACCCTAAGAGTAATTAAACAGTGGGGTTTAGGGCCAAGCACAGGCTACTTTTAGAGCAAATACAAAACACACCTGAACTCCCAACATTAAACCCGGAAGAATGGTTTGGGTTTAGGCTGCACAAACCAGACTTAATAATAACGGTAAAGCAAAATTATCCTTACTAAACATGAAACCCCGAACCCAGTACTTTCGGGTTTAGCCTTTCAGATTTCGGCTTTGGGAATTTCAATTCAGGTTCCGTGTGGTCTGGGCATTTTGTCTGACTGCCCAGGTCTGGTAATGGCGGGACGTAGCTGGAACGCGGGCGCCTTGATGTGTTTTCTGCTGCATTGCTGGCTTTGCATGGGTGTTTAAAGTTTAAACCGGGGGTGCTGATCTTCAAACCACAGACTTTAACATGGCTGCTCAGTAATCATGCCACTAGTCTTTGTGCAGCATTTTCGGTTTGGGACGGTGGTCTTGTACGATGTATGATTATAGTCCAGAATTGCCGGCTTAAAGCTAGGCTAAGCCAGTTTCGGAATTCGGAGGTTCGCGTTTTCAAGGGTTGACAGATTCGCAGATTAGTAGTTACTTATTGAGGCTTCAAACCGGCGGCTGGGGTTGCAGGGTCCCTACTAATCTGTGGCCTTCAGGGCTTGTAGGTCTACCTTCAGTCGACAAAGCCCGCAGATAGATACAGACATAGTTACTTACTTTCCGGGTTTCAGGGCATGGCGTGCAGGGTCTTTAGGGTCTCTAGTAGTTTTCGTCCTCGAGGCTTCTTCTGGGTTCCTGGGTTACTTACTTTCCGGGTTGCAGGGCATGGCGGGCAGGGTTTTTTGGGTCTCTAGTAGTTTCCGGCCTCGAGGCTTCTTCAGGGTTCCTGGGTCGCAAGGGACAGTGCAGGTGTTCTCGTGCTCACGAGTTTGCAGTTGGGTCCAGGGTAGTCTCAGGGCTTCTCAAAGCTTGCAGGGCAGTGTAGGCAGATGTGCAGCTACGGGCAGATTCGGACTGTTGCTGTGGTCTGAGGCGGTCGGCAAAGGTAATTTTTTTGGATTTCTATCATAAATTACCTCAGCGTTTTTATAAAAACGCTGAGGTAATTTTTACAGATATTAACATAAATTACCTTTTTTGGGTTTTTTGTTGTAAAAAGGTAATTTATGTTGATATCCATAAAAATTACCTCAGCGTTTTTATAAAAACGCTGAGGTAATTTTAAATGCCTAGATCTAAGGGGCTGGCTTCTAAAATGCTTAACTGGAAGCATTCCGAGCCTGGCAAGCTGCCAGAAGCCTTGACTGGAGCCTATCCCTGCCAAAGGCTACCGGGGACCTGGGTGCTGGCTGCTGCAGCATCGCCTGAGCCTCAGCAGGTGCTTGGAGCCTGCCGTAGAGCTGTGCAGTTTTGGGGGGCCCTGTTGCAGTGCACGCTGCAGCCGAGCAGAACTTAACCATTGATTCGCAATACTACTGCTCAAGGACGCTCTTGTCTTGGTCTAGCAGTTAGTAGTCTTTCTTGGTTTGGTCTGGACACGGACAGTCTAAGCCATGCCTTCTCCGAACTTGGCTGCTGAGCTGGCTTCCGCAGTATCGAAACCTCACACTGTGTCCGCTCTGCAGATTGTGCAGCTTCTGGTTCCTGAGGCCTTGGGCTTGTTGCCAGAATCTGCATTGGGTTGGTCGCCTTAGAGAATCAATGAACTTTGCAGCAAGCCTTTCCAGCACCTCTCCTTTGCTGCAGGTCAAGATCCGTCTGAGGACATGGCTGGTTGAGAAGGACTTGCTGAAGAGCACGGTCTCTGACATCTGCCATGCTCCACCGCTGACTTTGCCAGCAGCCAGCCAGGGCGAATCCCCTCAAAAGAAGGCCAGGGTCCACTCTTACAAGGAGATGTTTAACGGTGGCAACTGTGTTCGGAGCCTTCAGAGGTCCAAGGTCTACGAGGCCGGTGGCTCCATTTTGTGGATGTCTCCTTTTCCGGCTCCACCGGAAGGCAAATCCCAGGAGTATGGGTCTGTGATCAAGCCCTCGGACTTCACGTATTCGCAGATGGTCGAGGCGCAAAGTCTGTTTCAGGCCAGTGATGTCTACCACGATGGGCGCATCTTGTACCCGAATGTGATTCAGTGCATGGTCTCGGTCATTGACCCATTGCTGGGCAAGGTCAAGGACTTTCCACAGAGTTTGTCTCTCATCAGCGGCCACTTGCCACTCTATGCCTGGTGGCTTTCGGTCTACGAGGCCCTCCAGGAAAGCGCTGATGATCGATTGCTTCGTCTCTGGCAGGCCGGTCTCACAGCCACCATTCAGATACATCTGGTGGACTCGGACGGCCAGCTTGCTCGTCTATGCATTGCTTCCTCTGAAGCGCTGAGAAATTTGCAGGCCAGCAACGACAGCTTGATGGCTTTCTGCGAGAGGCTGGTGGTCTTGACAAAGTCTTACAAAGTGCAGAAACAGCAGGATGTCTTGGACCGTCTCAAGAAGGACGGGGTCTTGTTCCAGGGCAGGGCAATCAACAAGAATGTCTTGGTGGCAGCCGAATCCATTCAGCGGCACATGTCGCCAGAGGCACGGCAAACCCTGGTCTACCTGTCTTCCAAGTATGGGACGTCGGTCTTGACCGAGCAGGTTGGCAAACTCTACAAGATCATTTTGATGATCAGCCGACTCACGTCGAGCCGACTTCCCGGGGAGAACACCGCCAATATCTTGAGTCTGGTCTTGTCGCAGATCGCGAATGCCTTGGACTTGGAGATCCTGAAGACCTCCCAGCTAACGGGCGAAGGTCTCACTGGCAAGGAGGGCAAGGACGCACAAAACATCACCAATGCGGATGATGTGCCGATCGTCTCGCTTTGTCTGACCCAGATTAGCGTTGCTTTCAATGCGAACCAGAGTCTGGGGCTTCTGGACGATTGCCCC